CTGTGTTTTCCACCCCATTATCTAGTATGGAACAAGGAAAGGAATTACGACACATTTCAGGGTCATAAGTGCTAAAACGAAATGAAGGGGAGATACTACAATGACTTGCAGCGTACGGTTATAAACTCATAATATGTAAATGAAAGAACGTCCTTTTACAAATAAAATGTCTAAGATAGCTTAGACAGACCATGGCACTAATAAGTATCCAGGGAAATGGATGACTGAAATTTGTGGGACGTTCAGAAATTTTGTTCGCGCTTTTTCGAGAGATTGAATGCAGAAATTTCCCTGGTATATGACGGAGACCAAATGTTGCACACAGTATTGTGAGGAACCATTCAAAGATCGGTTGAGAAATAAAGCGAATGTTTAAGTAAATGCAAATGAGAAGGAAGACGTAATTCTCCCTCGAGGAGTGAACACACCTAATTTACTCAGGAAATGTCGCGATTGTACATTGAGTGGGTGTATGGCATATTTCTGATGATGTCATTTTGTTTCTTAAATTGATTTGAGGCGCGGAAAGCCTTTAACTAGAGCAGGGTTCTTTCCAAATCTGTTTTGTGAAAAGAAAACTGGCCAATTTTAGACGAAACCAAACGTTTCTTCATATCCGAGTAATCTTCTACGCTGCCCGACACAGTATAATTTCGTGGACGCCACCAGGGCTCTTCACGAGATGCATAGAAGATTATAATGAAGTAGTATGAACTACCCAATAATAGTAAGTAGTAATAATTCCAAAAATACAAGGATATGATAACTTTACTACTTTCGCCACGTTTCTAACGTTATAGCTACTACTACTACTACTACTACTACTACTACTACTACTACTACTACTACTACTACTACTACTACTACTACTACTACTACTACTACTACTACTACTACTACCACTACTACTACTACTACTACTTCTACTACTGCTACTACTACTACCACTACCACTACTACTACCACTATTACTAGTGACAGTTCGACCATCGGTTTCGATGATGTCCACCGTGTGCCCCACAGTTGCAGCAGCAATGGGAGCAAGGACGGTGACTTACGCAGGGGTTTATAGTGCCGGTAGACTTGCGTAGTATCTACCTACACTCTCTCCTCCTCCCTCGCCCAAGCCCGGTGTCAAGACAGAGTCAAGAAGACCGGAGACGAGAGAGGCCGCAGGTGGATGGCTCGGACGGATCCTCACCTTGGCGTTCCACCACACTCCCTGGTCCACACAACAAATAACCAGGATTTCAACCAACACATGAGAGATTTGGAGGCTTGCACGGCCGAAGCCGCACCTGGGTGTGCCGCCAACGCCTGGCTCGGATCCCACACTGTGATTTTCTTACCGGGAGATCACAAACTGTGTGCATTGAGGCCTCAAGGTCACCTCCTACCCCCGTTCTAAGTGGTGTACCCCAGTGCTTCGTTTTAGGGCCGTTGCTATTCCTGGTTTACATTAACGACTGCGTCGACGACCTGGGATGCAGCGCCATCATGTTTGCTGACGATATTAAGATGTGGAGAACCATCAGATCTGACTCAGAAAGGTATGCGCTTCAAGACAGTCTCGACCGCCTGAACAATTGGTCAGCTCATTGGTTCCTTAATTTTAATGTGGACAAATGTGTAGTCCTGAGACTCCGCACCAAAAAGACCAGTAAGAAGCACGATTCCTTTCAATACGTCCTGGGCGGTCAGCCCCTTTCAAATGCTGTGGAACAGAAAGACCTCGGCGTCCTAATGACTTCCTCACTGAAACCATCATCACAGTGTCAAAGGGCAACCAAAAGTGCGATAAGGGTGTTATTTGCGCTGAGGCGAGGGTTTATGCAGATCAATAAAGAGTTGTTCGGAAAAACCTATCGTCCGGTCTCACTTAGAGTATGCAGTCCAGGCCTGGCGACCGTGATTGAAGAAGGACTACCAACGACTGGAAAGAGTACAGGCGATGGCTACGAAGATGGTCAGGAATCTTAATCATCTGCCTTACGAAACCAGGCTGACCGAATAAATCTGCTTCCTCTCAATTACAGGCAACTGCGCGGCGATCACATGCAAACCGGCCGGATTGTCATAGGTCTTGAGTGCGCCCTAGACTTTGGCGAATTCTTCGCATTGGCCGGGACTGACCGTCTGCGTGGTCATCCCTTCAAACTGCAGAGCAAGCTGGCTCATTCGGACGTCCGACGGAACGCCTTCTCTCACAGGGTCATTGAGGCATGGAACGGACTCCATGATGCGGTGGTTCTTTCCGAAACTGTCCAATCCTTCAATTGCACACTAGATGCTCATTTGTTGAGAAACTTCTGTACACATAACTACGATTGTTTTGCGGTGGCAGTTTGCGCATGGCTCACACTTACCGCTAACTTTTGCACTTTCCGCATTTGTTGATGTAATTGATGACTTTATTGCTGTTTGTCGATATGAATAGGGAGCTCAAGGGCAAAAGCCTCATTCCCTTAATAAACTGACTTAAAACTGACTTATTATTACCACGACGACGGCTACTACTACTACTCAACAGCTCGACCGTCGTTTCCGACAATGTCAACCGTGCACTACACAACTGGGGGGAGAGCAGGAGCGGTGGCTTGCGCATGAATTAGTTTGTAGTGATGGAAGCTTGTATTGCATCTACCACACTCATTCCTCCTTAGGCATATTGGCCCGGCGTCACGACAGTCAAGGACACAGGAAGCGGGAGAGGGCGCAGATTACTGACACGGAGAATCTTGCACTTGACCGCGCGCCACCACACCGGGTAGGATTCCGCTGAATGCCAGTGCCACAGAGGCCACAAGAAGAATCAGCAGTTGCAACCTGACCTTCACTCCACCACTCGGACACACCCCACACAAAGCACACACTAGACTGACCGCGAGATCCAAGGTATCCCGGCAGTCGATAACCTAACAAGCCACTGCGCTCAGTGTGTCGTGATAGAGTCAAGCGCGTTAGGCTGTTTCAATTGAGGAGTTGTGCGCTGACAGTTAACCCTTTCCCGTGCACCAGCCAACTATCCGAGTCGGTAAACCACCTGATGCTAAGTTTGGGAGACAAGGCGTACAGAACTGCGAACAGCTCGTTTACGCGTGCCACACACAGCACTTGACATTCTGTACGCACATGCTAGGAATTCATACAAAAGGGAGTAGACTCCCGGGACCTCACACGTTGAGGAGTTGCCGAAGAGCACGCCTCCCACTTACGCGAGAGGCGCCAATGATGGGAGATGCTGTGAGCGTTCATGTCCTGCAGTTTTTGGAGGAGGAGTCTATTTGACTTGGGTCTAGTCCGCGGAGATTTACTACAGGTTTTCCTGAATGTGCATGCGGCCGAAGAGGCCTATGCGACGGCTGAATGCGCGACGGCAATTCGGGCAGCTGAGGCGGCGTGGTGGGTGTATGTTGGTACTCTAGGCAGTGATTCGTCAGCCTCGCACGATGGATTAGCGAGTGCCCGACCATGCCGATACGTGTGGCGAATATGCGGTGGCAATGTGGACAAGACAGGTCTTGGGGATGTTGGGTCGGTTGTTATTGCGGTGTTAGTAGTGGTAATCGCGCTGGTGGGTGGGTAGCCCAGTGACCTGGGAATGAGAGGGCCGGTGGATGTGTAGGGTGTGCCAGATGTGCCGATATTGCGGTGAATTCCGCTGTTATGGATACACATGTGACCGAATAGACCCATGCGGCGAATAAATGTGCGTGGACAGTGTGGAAAGTAAGGGCGGATTCGACAATTGTACGTAGGACTCCTGGCATTGGTGCACCGGTCGGAGTACGATGAATTTGCTGGTAATCGACCTGCTCGATGCATGAGGTGAATATACGATCGCGATGAGGGCATGTTGGTACCGAGTCCAAATTGCTGGAGATGGGCTGCTGACGGCAAGTGTCGTGGTTGAGGGGACGTCACGAGTGTTCTGACCGGTAGCGACTGGTCCTTTGAGGGGTCTTCCCAGGTTGGTTAGCTTTAAATAATTCTCTTCAATGTCTCTCTGACGGGGTTTTCGGACCCCTAGCCGGCTAGCACCCGAAACGACCTTCTGCGTAGAGGGGTCGTTTTGGTAGTCGCTCATTGTCCGCCCACACGAGGGGACCGCTCTAACGTAACAGAAATTGCCTCATCATGGCGTAGCTGCTCAAGATCCCCTTCTGTCCCAAAACTTCCTTGTCCGCGATCCTGTCCTGTCACCTCAGCTTTCGTATTGCCCAAAGACAACAAAAGACAAAGTTACTGAGTTTCCACGCTTGCTCCTAGCATATAGTCCAGATCTCTGCATTGTACAACCGCGTCATCAAAAAGACCGTTTTGTTTTGCGATTCCATACAAAGTTCTGCAGCCGATCGAAGGCCTGGGTGACTTTGGAGGTTCGGTGAACCACTCTTTGGCGAATTTGATGCAGTGTTGGAGTGTGTTGCGCAAGTCGGCGAAGTTGTCCACGGTCTTCAGCTGCGTTGGGTTGATGCATGATCATTGTCTTGCTCGCGCCGATGGTCAGTCCGAAGATGGCGTAGCCCCAGGCGAAGAGACCCAGGCTGCGCCGCATGTATAATTCTGCTGCGGTATGGGAGGATGCGGAGGCAACTGGTAAGATCCCTAGCTAGTGTTCTCGTTCCGCAAGTTCTGAAAACGTTGTCCCTCAAATTCCGGGTATGATCTGATGATTAAACTACCGCTGATGTAAGGGACGAGATGATCAGTAATTGCTATTAACACTCGTCGTTCCCACACCACTCGCGTGACGAGGCGTGCTATGGCGTGTTCGGCGTGTCGTGGTCACTGGGTCGAGGCGGACGGGGGGGAGGGGGGACATAGGCTGTACGTCTGGTGCGTTGCGCAAATGCCACTGCCATCAGGAGGTTGGGACGACGTGCAATCATCATCTGGGGTCGGCATTGGCCACGGAAGACAGGGCGCCTGTGTAAGCATCTTCTGACAACATAGCACTGGATTGGCTAGCCGTATAGCCACTGCCTCGGCGGTAGCTATCACCCGTTGGCGTAGGCCTCTGCTATTTCGTCAATGCCGCAGTCGCACTGAACACTGGGTGGGGACACTAGCTTCTGAAAGGAAGAGAGAGGCGTGAAAAGATCAAAAAGTCCAGGCAAGTTTTTGCGCGCACAATGTATGTTGGCTAATTGTTATCTGAGCTAAGGCTTATTCCTTAACTGCTGGTGGATATGGCAGCAGTCTGCCGAATTCTTTGTTGGATTTCAATTAAATCCGCTGCCCTGCTGGTTCTTGTCTGAATTACCTTATGCAAGTGGGTGAATGGGCAGCAACTGTGACCAGTCTCCTACTTTTGATATCACTTCAAGTCACCGCCTTTGTCATGCAGAATCTTCAAGTCCCGAGTAATCTTATCCCAAACAATGGTCCCACCTGAAGTTTCAGACTTCCGACTACACTTCACCTCTTAAGGCACCTTCGCAGCCTAACGTATACGAACAGTCCAACAATTCAACCAACTCAACGATTGCCTCCGCACAAATTTGGAAAACAGACATTCCCAGACAGTAAAAAAACATTTAAACAATCTATTAAAGGGCGCTTTCTAGAGCTACCTTTATTACACGTTGGTCGATACTTTAGCACGGGGAGTTTTGCTTAACCAGATACGTTTGAGCATGATGTGCTAGAAGCGTATTCCAGGCGACATCAGGAACACTTCGGTCAATTCCGAATTATATTCTATATAGGGCTTCGTCGAGATGGGCTCCCAGAGATCTCCAGAGACCGGCCCACTTTCGAGCAGTTTCCTCTTCAGCCGGATCCATTATACTTCGATGGCGTTTGCCTGGCGGGAGTGGTTGAGAGGTTGGTATGCTTTCACAGGCAGGTAACTGTATGCCTTCCATTCCGCAGTAACAGTTAAGCTCCCCGGGTAACACATATCTTTACGACAGTTTCCAGGGAGACCCAACTCCTGTTACTGGCTGGCTCAAAGACATGGCAAGTAGGCCTTTGACACTCACTGTTGTGGTCCGGATCTCACCCGATCCCATTTTGTCCGCCCGCCTAACCACGTCAGTGAGTGTCAAACGACTACTTGAAATACTTATATTCCTCACTTCATAAGGTCTATGACGTACTGATGATCGGTAACGATCGTGAAACAGCTGTTTGCGTCTGGCCTGTTGCACTCTTAGCGAGTTGCTCAAAGACAGCCTTCCTCTGGTGGATATCGTGCATGCTCACAACCCAGAACGGCCGATATTAGGCTTCTTCCTGCTCACCATCGTCTTATCCATCTGGACTTCAATTTCGGGTCCGACAAGCTGCATGGTTACCTTCAAAAAGGCGCCTGAGTAAACATCCTGACATGCGCGATACCACCTGAGAGCTGTGATGCGTGCAACCTCCACTTCTTTAGTCTGTCTCCTATCACAAAAACCAGCATTATTTTCATCATCTTTGGTATGTTTAGGCGATTGCCTTCAAACAGGGGTCCGGTTCGCACTGATTTCCGTCGGCTACAGCTTGTGCACTGGAAAACAAAGCCGTCTACGCACATATTTCTCATAGGTAGCCTTATTGTCTTATGGCATGCGCTGCGTTAATATGTTTGGAGTTGAACTTTTTCTTGAAAATAGTATTATCACATTGGGCATTTCGATTGCTCTCCTAATGCTGTCAATCACCAAAAGTTCATTTGTTTGTGCACACCTTTCTACAGCGTTTTGGAGGCCGATACAGCGTCCTTACACAAGTGCGTTTGTGGCTAATTGGGTGGTTGCTGTTGAAGTTCAGTACTTGCATCGTATTTGTCACTTTCCTGAACACTTTGCTTTTTAGTCCACCACAATCTTTGCGACGTACGAGGACATCCAGGAAGGCCAGCTGGTTGTTTTCTTCCTCCTCCATCGTAAATTCTATGTCCCGAAAGACCGCATTCAGATCTTCCTTGAATGTTACCAGCTGATCCCGGTCGATATTGACGAAAGTATCCTCCATATACCGTGCCCGTAATCTCGGTCTGTGGTATGGGAAGACCAGCGACTCTAACCGTTGTGTAAGGGCGCGCTATCGGCGTGTCGAAATGCACTGCAGTGAGCCGAAAGACAAAATTGCCGAGATACAATATCTCCGGCAGGTCTTCAAAGTCAGTGGCTACCCGCGCAACTTCATCAACCGGTGCATACGCAAAAGGGACGAATGGCCTAACCGCACGGACACCAAATTTTGGCGAGCGCATCCATATGTCAAGAACGTTTCGGAAGCTGTCGGTCACCTTCTCGCACCACTTGGGGTTGGAGTTGCACATAGACTGGAGGCAACTATCGGGCGTCTGGTAATGAAACCGAAAGACCCACTGCCACGGCCAGAAACGTCTGGAGTCGTTTATCAGATCTGGTGCAGTTGCGGACAAAGCAACTACGTCGGAGAAACCGGAAGATATCTCAAAACGCTAATGACCGAACACGCTGCAGCGGTGCGGAGGAGTGATGCATGCTCTCAAGTTGTGGCTAATTCAACGAGATCCGACTACATATTCAGATTCGGTGAGGCCGAAATTCTCGCAAGAGGTGACAACCGCGTGAGCCGGGAGCTGCTTGAGTCATGGTTTACTGGCCCCCAGTCCATTAACAAGTGCAATGACCTTCCACTTCCATACTCAGTGCTGAGACTTCGCGTAGGCGGAATAATTAACCACGCGAGAATCGCAAAGGTGAACACATTTCCTAACGCCAGGGTCAGTAGATCAGATGGTCGAGCAATCATCATACCAAAATCCAACTCACGTGATGAAATCACAGTAATTAACGACGCGAATGTCGGCCACCAAGCAATTAACACACCAAGCGCAACGATCCCTGATAAAGGGGGGAACCGTGAATATTCATAGGTATGCGGTGGCATGGCGACTGCATCCTATAAATAAGGCAGCCCCTTGTGCATGAACCACCGGTATCTGCTTTTGTCTCTGATGATGGGTTCGAGCAGGAATCCGAAACGTCAGGCTGATATACCTCGCGTCCCGGCGATCGTCTCCCTTTCTTCTAGAACTTTTATTTATTTAGCTACGTTTCTGCCCTTATTCCTGACTTCGGCGTCATTATTTTAAAGGCGTAATATTTGGTTTGCTTTGGTTTTATGTTGCTTTCCTAATGCTGTCAATCCTCCATGGCCTACTCAATTGAGCAGGCCCTTTCGCAGGCTTGGATATAGCATTCCGGCAACATAAAAAATGTTAACACTTCTATTACACGTCGGCGTGTCTATCTTAACAAACAAATAATTGCTTTCTTTATTTGTCATTAACTAATGTTTTTTTAACTTAAATATTACCTATTGTGACATTTCGCTTAGGCCAACCAGTTTACTTGGCTTTATTTACCCTTCCTGGATGGCTAGGCCATCTACATATTGTTCACTGTATTGTTGCACTTCATGGAGTAGCTGAGTCGACGATCGCGCTTTACTCCTTTGGGGTTCCTGGTTCCCTGCGACCTTGGATGTTCATTGGCTACTTTACTGCCCTGATCTCTGTCCTTAGCGTCATTATTGTATAGGAGTTATATTTGGTTTACTGTGGTGTCATGGTGCTCAATAATAATTTAAATCAATTTTCCGGCCGCCTTTTAAGGTCAGCAAAGGACTTACTTTAATTTACACATATTTTTAACAACAGCCTACGCAGGAATTGTGTTTTCCGCCCGTGCACCTACGCTTCCACTTTCTGCACCCGTATAACCCCTTATTTCACCGGTCCCGTAAGACAGGAGGACATTTTCTTGGTTACTTGTCATGGGTCTCATACTGCGTCGTTGCCCAACTTCTCTCGCCACTGTGAATCCCCATGCTGAGTGTACGCCCACGAAGAGTTCAACTTAATTGAAATGCATGCATGTATGTGAATCCTGAAGGAACGTGCAGTTTCAGGCCGAAAAGTTCTTTACTTTGGCCTGACCACAATGTTGGACGTTAGGTTTGTTTAGATGCTTGACCGGTCAGTGTATCATTGTCAGGTGCGAATACGCACAGAATCGGCGCCCGCGGGCCATGCGCTGGGCTGATCTAGCATCCCATTGGTTGATGAGGCGGCAAGCACTTGGGCCAATCATCGACAACGTTGTCTGTGGCAGGATTAAATGCTGTGCGCCATAATATCGCCATAAGAGCAGATTTAGGGTAAGACACAGTCCTCCACGGGAACCGAAGCCTGTAACCGCCAGAAGTCATCACAATGTTCCCCCATATTTCCCTTATGTGGGCGTTGTTCATTTCTACTTCGTTCATCGAAGCCCTCCACTTTCCGGCGGAGTTCACCATGCAAGTCATGAACTACCCGAACATCGTCACACAGCGGGAGAAATGTCTTCCAGCACGCGGTCTCAATCAACTGCACAAGACGCTGGTTTGTGATCCAAGGGAAATTCTGACCGCCGATGAGGGTAAATATTTTTTTCTTAGGCTTTTTTAAAAATGCGCTTCGCGATTAATCATTTAAATATGGCATAAAGTGTCCTTATTATAGCGTATCCCTGCGGTTCAAGGTGATTTGCCACAACGGTATTATAGAAAAATAGATTATTTGGATGACTAACTCGAAAAGTAGGGATAAGCGACCATAAATGTTTGTCTTTACGAAACATAGTACTCGCACATACCTACTTGATAGCCCAGCTCGATTGCCACCGTGACGTGATTGGTCATTTGCAGACATGAGGCCAAACAAAAAATAAGCAGCATCAAAAAATGCCAAAAAGCACGGGTTAAAAATACACACAGATGAAATCAAGGAATATTAAGACGCCATCTTTCTCAGGCATTTCGAATCTTGTATACCCGGCGATGTAGTTTATTGGTTGTGGATGTTTGACCTGTGTCGTCTGCACCGCTCTCGGGTGGCTAACTGCACATTCTTTTCGCAAATATTTTTTTTCCTCTTCAAATGAGCATTGCCAACGGAATTTTCGAATCGACGGCTCCTAAGTCGCGACAGATGAGAACACCTGCTGTTCCGACGAGGGCGCTGCGATGGAGAGTGTATGAACTTAATTATGCTGAAGTAAAATTTCGCTGGGTCTAACGCAATCCCTCACGCTTCCTGCGCCCACCGCGTTGGTTTACATTATATAGGGTCAAGATGACGAGATATGTAGCGTCTGGCGCATCTCATACAACGTGAAGCAAAATTATAAAATTCGTTTTTGATTTAAACGAGGTCCATTGTTCTCTCTTCTCATTGGCCCTCCTTTCCTGCCTAAGCGGTGTCTGACGGCCTCGTATGGCGTTGGTAGGTCTATCCTACGGTTAATCGAGTTGGCTTTGGATTGCCAGGCTTCGATTATTTGTTTCGCCACTTTGTTTTCAGCTCGGCCGATTACTTCTGCCTAGTCCAAGTCGAATTGATGGTTATTTTTGAGGCAATACATAGAAACATCTCATCAAGATAGCCAACCCTATCTCTAGGGTGCACAGGCTGAGTGCGTAAAGTAGTCGACGGCTTGTGCGCCACTTTTATTTGGTGCTTCTTCAAGTGCTTTTCAACGAATTCAGACACATTCGTGATGCAAGGAAGGATTCGCCTAGTGCCTGCTTTGGGAGCGTGACCGGAACCATCTAGTTCCTTACTTTCAAATTCTCACTGTTTCTTTTATCGACCTCGAAATATCTAGGATAACTGCTCTAGGAAATAGTTCATGCGGACAATTCGGCTCAAGTTGGTGGCTCTTCTTGTCAGAGCAATCTGTTGTTGCTCGATGTAACAGACTTTTGACAGTACCCCATTTGTGAGAGGTCAAGCTGTTACTCTCATAGTGTAGAATTACTTCCGCATATGTTTTTGCGTTAAGCGGATGTGTGCGATGTTCCGTCAGTCTTTTGCTATACGAGAACATCAAGAAATGGGAGCTTATTGCCAACCTCGTTCACGAGCGTGAATTTAAATCCTTGTACGGTAGGGTAGATGGTGCTATGGCACTTCTCCAGTTGATCCTTTTTAACCACAGCAAGTGTGTCCTCTACATATCGTACCCACAACTTAACATTAAATAAGGAAAGATCTGCCGACGTCAGTTTCTGTGTTTTCAGCTTAACAAGAAAGTTAAATAAAGGTGATGCTACTGAAGCTCCTTCTGCTTGTTAATGGTATCGGTAGTCGAACGAAAAAAATTGTTTCTAGGCAAAGGCCTATGATTGCAGGTAAGGCAGATGCGGAAATAGCCGTGTATAAGGATTTTAGGAGTTCATCTGTGCATTGCCCTGTCAAACCTAATGATATGGATAAAAATAAGGATGCGACATCGAAGGATACCATTATCTCGTCAGCGACAATTGTGATTCCTCACAAGACTTCGAGAAATTTTATCGATTTCTAAGTGGAAGTTTCACAATCAGTCGTAATTGGGGGGAGTTGGTGGAATAGCAACTTAGAAATTCGTAATTGGGTGCGCCTAGTAAAGATACTCTCGGTCGCAATGTTTGTGAACTCTTGGCATTCCGAAGATATTGAGATGGTTGGTTCGGATTGTCTCAGAGATTTTGCAATATCATCCGACGCTGTTTCGTTCCTCTGAGGCAATTTAGCAGTTTATTAATAGATGAAATCTGTTCCTTGGTAGGATTTGTGAAAAGAGGCTCATGTGTTGGGCCAGCGTACAACAGTGACTGTACGTTCCCACTATAGTCTGCTTTTTCTTGAATCACAGTTAAGTCTCTTTTGTTTGCGGAGAGTACGCTAGTGTTTTGGTTGGTTATTAATTCTTTTAATGCTTTGCTTTCTTCATGTGATAGTCTTGGGGAATAATTCTGATCCCCTAAGGCCTGTACCTTGGTGTTTGAGATTGTGAACTGTTAATCTTTCTTAAGGTTTACTGTTAGCATAATGGAAGTCCAAGTAATATTAGTCAGAATGATTATATTTCAGCACATTTGGAAAGCATATTCCCCTCTGTTGTCGAAAGGACTCTTCAGGACAGATTTACTTTCCTCGCCGAAAACGGCATGGAGATCGCTGGGACCAGTGGTTCGGCACCTCGGGCACTCGCCCGAGCCCATTGTCAAGGAATGAAAGACTGTACAACTCACCTCAAAGTTAGTTCCCCTCTGCCGAGAATAACCTCCAGCTGCGCTAATGATTCTACCACGCAGTGACGACTGGTTATTTCGTCTGACACATCAGATATATTCGACACTGCGTACTAGACTGATGGGCGACTCTGGATTTGGCGTCGCCCACAGACTGGAAACAACAACCCGGCGGCAACTCATGCGCCCTAAGGACCTGATTCCCATCAATCGGAAATCGGGGGCAAGTGATCGGAAAGACAGCAATTTTCGTCAAGTCAATTATGTTGGTGAAACCGGCAAACAGGTTCGCATTAGACTGCTCAAGCACGAATAGGCTGTAAGGCGGAAAGATAAGCTCGCCTTGGCGGCCACCCATGCCTGCTTTCCAGGGTACAACTTTAGCATCGACTGCGTGAGAATATAGGGCCAGTCGGACGACCGAGTTTCGCGCCCGGTGCAGTAAACGAGGCACTAGACTGAGGACTCGCTTAGTCGACATATCGATCTACTAATCGTCCATCAGACACTGCGTAGTCGGAGGTCATTCCCGACAGAGGTGAAGTAATTAAGAGATTCGTTTTACACTATTTCACTCCCCGATGATGAGCTCCTGGGGCATTTCAAAACATTTTAAGACGACGTGGGGAGACAGAATATAAAATTAACGAGATTTATTTTGTTAGCTCTTCATATAACTTATTTCCTTCGCAGTATACTTCCTGAGATCCCCATTTTCGAAATTACAAGTATTAGATTACGCTGGGAGACCCCCTGTGGAGCCAACCCCCTCGCAGTTTTGTCACACAACGGCAGAATACCGACGAAAGGCGTGTCTGGGCGTTATGCTAGATCGTATGTCGAGAGTACGGTATGATACCTTTGCCATATATATATATATATATATATATATGTTGAATAACTGATGTGGTGTGCATTCCGAGATGATATAATGAGAAAGTGAGGGCTCTTCGGAAAATTGAGTTGTACTCGTAAATTTTCAAGTCGGTGACACCGACCCGTCGTCAGACGAAATGAACAGAGGGAAAGTGAAGTCGGCAGATTAGGTCGGCTGGCGCGACAGGACAGACAACGACAAATAGACAGCAGATGTGTGAGAGGGGTGGGCACCTAGTTATGGTAGGCCGTGGGGCAGGGGGAGGGAGGGAGGAACCGTTAGGGCTCCCAGTGTTGGAGGCGGTGAAAACGCGGGGGGATGGGGATTGCGAATCAGCGGGAATGCGGGCGGCTGGCCACTGATGCGGACCCGGTGCCCAAAGAACAACTAAGTAACGTCATCTACCGCATACCGTGTGCCAACTGCCCTTGTGTTTATATTGGCCATACAGGCCGATGTCTTGGGACTCGCATTAACGAACACAAGTTAGCCCTCCGCCGACGTGACCCTCTGTCCCTCGTGTTTGCACACGCCATTGAGCATGACCACCGCTTCAACTGGGACGGCACTGAAGTGATCGCAAAGGCTAACACCAGACAGGCGCGAGAATTCCTCGAAGCTTGGCATTCTGGCACGACCAGCATCAACCGCCACGTCGATCTTGACGCTCATTATGAGGGCCTACGTACACGCTCACTGTCTTGTTCCCACACCTCAACATTTGCTAACCCCCACTCGGCCACATAGACGTATGCTCTTTCGCCATTCCGCTCCCCCCTTGCGACACGGTGAACAACAGCCGAAACCCCCCTAACACCTCCAACGCCGGCGCATTGGCCCCTGACCTCATCCCGCATCAGTGACTAGCCGTCCGCATCAGTGGCCAGCCGCCCGCATTCCCGCTGATTCGCAATCCCCATCCCCCCGCGTTTTCACCGCCTCCAACACTGGGAGCCCTAACGGTTCCTCCCTCCCTCCCCCTGCCCCACGGCCTACCATAACTAGGTGCCCACCCCTCTCACACATCTGCTGTCTATTTGTCGTTGTCTGTCCTGTCGCGCCAGCCGACCTAATCTGCCGACTTCACTTTCCCTCTGTTCATTTCGTCTGACGACGGGTCGGTGTCACCGACTTGAAAATTTACGAGTACAACTCAATTTTCCGAAGAGCCTTCACTTTCTCATATATATATATATATATATATATAAAGTAGCGACAAAAACGAAGCAGACTTCATTGTTTATGGGTCGCCCTGGGACTGATCATGATGGTTGTAGACTGGGCCTCAAGCCGTACTCGTAAATTTTGAAATTGATTGCGCCAACTCGCTGCCAGCTGAAATTAGTAAGACATGTAGGATCCCTGCCATGGTGTGCTTGGGATTATGAAAACTGCCTAATCAGAACATTCGTCCGCGTGATGGGCAAACAGACGTCACGAAGGCGAGAGATACAGTTAAAGCGAGAATTTAAAAGCCCCTAAGAATTCTGGCGCCAGCTTTATGTTGGCCACGACGACCACTTGTAAATCATGTCAGATGAATCCGTGCTTATTTTCGAGTGCGTGCGCAAAAACGAGGGACGAGTAGGCCACGCACATGGACAGACAGTTTTTGTTCGTTAACATTTCTGCAGGGCACGGGAATATGGATCCCTCGTAATACCGATGATCTTGCCTTCACTTCCAGAGCTACGCTTAGGAGGGCTTTTATGTCGGTTAGAGTTAAAGTTAGCACACGCTGTAGGCGCCTCTTGGAATTTGGTATATAGGCTACTGTAGTATGAGGATCCATATACCCTGTTCGACCAATATTTCTAACGCACGATATCGGTTGGTCGTCCATTCTTTACCGAGTGGGTCATAGCTCATGGATGCTCTTACGAACACCTTCCTAAGTTTTTTACTTTAAATATCTCAACCTCAGCTCATGTATAAGATAGGATATGACATTTGTTCTCTAATTTGTCGCACATAATATGATTCTGTATTTCACTAGTCTGCGTTAGTAAACACTCTGAGTTAATGTGTGCGAAAAAGAAAGGCTTCGAAAAACTCACATACTTACTCGCAAACTCTCTAACTTTCATGAACAGTCTCGCACCGGGTGAAATATCCTGCCTAGGTACGGTCTATGCGTTCATGGGTGAGGTATGAGGTGGCTATGATCGACATAAGGAGTGGGGCGCGCGTCCCGGCTATTGAAATGCAGGCCTAACACGGGCATTGGTGCCCCCGATTATAGGTAGTCCTGTGTTAGGCTCCGGGGGGTTAGGGCTTTGTTTAAGGTTAGCGTTAGGTTACCCCGGAATCTAGCGTAAAGTAAGGTAGAATTATCTACTTCTACGACCTACCGAAATGGGGTTTTGAACGCAGACATTCGGCTCACAAATGATTGCCTGTTCACAGTTCCGTTTTCGAAATTCCAGAATGATTATTTTTACGCAAGGACCATCCTTATTATAGTGACCTGAAGCAGTCTCTTTTTGCAAAAAAAGAATAGCTACCTTTCATATTACCGACCTAAAAAGGGTGCGAGTTTGGACGATCGCGTCCAGGTTTGGTCTTTTTAGAAAGTAAAATCATGGAGACCTGTTTTAGGGGACAGGACATGACAGAGAGCCTTAAGTAACCCCAAGTAAGCTGTCTTACAGTTCAAACACCGTTGTCGGCCCCGGCCAGTGGAGTATTAACTGTTTTTATATAGATGAAATAGTTTCCATGATTTGTAAAATATGCAGCCTTTGGGGCATAAATAGATGTAGAGTGAATGAGTGCTTCGACACACTCCAAACTCCATATAATTTTAGGCAAGCAGTGCAACATAATAAAAATTTTTTTTTAAATTTCGCTGTATTTCGCTGATTTCAAATATCTGTCGTCGCTCCTTATGAATAAGCGCATACTCTTCACCATATTTAACAGCTTGCGGAGCCTAAAGTTAGGAAACATTGTGGTTTCGCTCGGCACGGTGGCACAAAGAGAGTCACGACACTTCAGTAGCTTTAGAGAACCACTCAGAAGGTATGTCGTAGAGTACTTGGACAGACACCGACTTTGTGGAATAAACGGCTTGTTCATAGTTGACTTTTAGAGGTTCAACAAATTCGGCTGCCTTTTCAGTCATCTAGTTCAGATAGACAGATGCTCAGGCGGAATTTAATACTCATGTCGAACATCTTGATGCCTAGTTGATCCAGTGTTCCGCTTTACGGGGGTATAAGTGGGTTCTGGACATCGGATCGCAAAAAAACAGCAAAAATGGTGAGATGTCCAGCTGTTAAGTCCGCGAGATTGTATGGGAGGATTGATAGCGCAGAGAGGATTCATTTAATTGATCTTTATAGACCGTTTATCCCGTGAATCACCGGATTCAGACTGCAGTGCAACTGCCTTGAATACCCCCAGCATTTTTGTCATCTGGAGCTGCTTGTTGCGTACTGAGACCTGGTTTTCATATTTCAGCAGTTTCTTTTAATAGTAGTGGTTCCTAAAATTCTCTGAAGATGACTCTTTAAGTTGATCAATCATTTATACCTTTAAGCGACTTGCCGGGCGCATAGGGCTTACGAATGTCCATTCTGGGGGAGTAGTCCGGCCAACAGGAATCATTGTTTAATTCGGTCTTTCTGTGTTTGCACATGAGATTTTTCCTATTTTCCTACATAGTTACCGAATCGGTTCTTTACGGCTCGGTAGCAGGGCTGTTGTGTACATTTTCGTACCCTCGTAAAAAGATCTGCTTTGGAGCAGTGCTGGTTAACTCCATTTAGCTTTCGAGATTAAACATAGGTCTCAATGCTTCATTGTTACATAATACGGCCCTATTCAAGCCACTCTCCTCATCTGCAAAAAATACATAGTTCAGAAAAGTGTGATCTCCTAGTTACCCATACAGTTTATCGGAGTTGGCCACCAGTTTATGACAAAAGAAGAGATACATTCGCGTGTCATTTCATCCTTCTTTCTGGACGACAGCTATTGACTGACGGCCAGTTTTAGAATTGTTTGGCCCTGAGAGAAACATAGAGAGAGAGAGGGAGAAATAAACTCGTTTCAGACGGCCCAGCGTCATCTTGCAGATGGGGCACCACCGCAGCGATCTCGCCACCCCTGCTCACACCGTCCGCACCGTTCGACAGTCGGCTTGATCTTGGCACCGGATAGTCTTCGCCTACTGTTTGTGTGACAGATCTTGATGTGTCTCTTCGTATGCGTGTCCTGCGTGTGTGTGTGTGTGTGTGTGTGTGTGTGTGTGTGTGTGTGTGTGTTTACTTTAGGAGTTGGCAGCCCGAAATACACTCAATTGGCCCGCATTTGGATGTCCGACCGTCAGGACGGATGAGGCCACCCCACCGGCCGGCAGACAAGGCCTAAACTTCTCATAATTTTGAAGATCAATCTCTCTCTCTCTCTGTCCCCCCTCCCTCCCCCACACGCTGCACGTACAGCGCCGTAGGCGAGCGCATTGATGGGGTTTGGTACTGCGTCGGCATCCGGACAAAACAGTATACATAAACGATTAGCTATCTTGTGCACATTCACCCCTTCATGCGATTTTAATGAGGTAGCCGGTTTTCTAAAGTCCACGAGTCCGATATTTTACTGAAACGTGAAGGCGTCAGCGACACACATAAATTGGCACACCAAGATGTCTGCCTGATTTTGACTCCTTCGACTAACTCGCTGACTGGAATCCAAACAAGTGTCCGGGTTCATTGCCAATGAAGGCCGTAATCGATTTATTTTGAACTTTCAGTCACACCAATCATCTGTATCCATCAAGCAACCGATGGTTCTCTGAGTGTTGCACCACTACCCACAATCATTTTACCGTAACCTCAAGACGCACTTGCCCTACCCCTTCATATAGCAGTTTTTTTCCACGGAACGGATCATCTGAAAAACTTGGGCACCCGAAATTCTTTATGTGATTTCCACGCAGGATTTTTTGGTCGACCCCACGAGCGGGACAGGTAGCGCCACGCTAAATTTCAGGAGGTTCCTCTTGCCGTGTTCTAAATTTAACCCTAACAGTAACCTTCATCGACCAAATCTTAACCATAACCCTCATGAACTTAACCTTAACTCTAAACCCGCTGGAATGCAGGTTAAGTCCACTTGTAAGAGGAGAACCGTATTCGCGTGTCAAATCAGCTTTTCTTTACTGCTTCGCTCAGAGCTCGTCCTTTTTAGTCAAAAACGCCGACTTCGAAATGAATGGATCTTAATATAATGAGTAGTTTGCTCGAACAGTCACAACCGCGTGGATGCCAATAATTCCTTTTGTTTTAAATAACTCTTTTGCCAAATTTCATCCTAAGGATAAGTGCTGAATCAGAACTCTGCGTCAACGTTATGGTATATAATTCGGCTTTTTGAACCAGATTTCATGCTGTTTTGTTAAGCGTTGGTATAGACCATCATAGAGGACTTTTATCGTATTATGTAACTGACAAATTAAATGCACTTACTCCCATTTAAGACCTTGCCTCTTGCCATCACATAGTTTCATAATGTCCTGATCGATAAGTGTTAAGTATGTGCGCGGGGTATGGAGAACTGTGGGGAACGGCCTGCAATATTTTAAAAAGTATGCGCTGTGCGGCAGAGTTTGTGTCAGCCCTTCCCATCGGTCCGAAGTGTCGGTACTGATGAAATGCTTGCATTGTTTCATTGTTCTGCACCCATACATGTAAGAAAGCTCATTTTTTCAAGAAAAGTTTCAGCGCGGAGAGCAGTCAGGCGGTAAAAATACTCGAAATAACAGTAGATGGATCGCACACGTCTGCCAGTAAGGCAGGAGTGTAAAAGCCTGGCGAAGTTGTTATACAGCACATAGCAGTTTCTCAGCCCGCGCATACACTTAATCCTGGCCTCCTGATCTGATAAGTCTAGGACCAATCCACAATAAATTTAGTAGTGCAGTGATGCCGTTATATTACCTGTTCCATTGTCTTCGGCATAACTTAAATGACATTGTCCACTTACGATTTTGATACGCGTAATCGGGGCGTCTGCATCAAAAATTAATCCTTGCTGGGGGCGACGTCCGCTGTGTACCCCACGGAGCATAGCAACGGCGACTTGAGCACAAATTATTTCGTCACATGACTGACTTGCTCAGTATCTACCGCACTCTCACACCTATCACTGAGACCCTGCTTCGATGGCAAGACAATATCAAGACGGCGGGAGGCGAACGCGGACGTCGTTTTAGAGCCCGTGCTGAAAGTTTCGAATGTTATTTTCAAAATAAAACATTCCTCCCTCTCTCAAGGCCACACAGGGCCTGGTCCCTACAACATGTAGAAGGTCTCTAAAGGCGCAGCTCGGATTTCACCTTCAAGAGAATATCATAAAGACCAGACTGAGAAGGAGTTAATACAGCCTGACGCTCGGGTTTTCCTTCACTTCAAGAATACTCCGATAAGAACAGAATTATCCTGTCTGTTAGAAATCTCATAAACAACTGCTCTTAGGTTATCAGGAGAGATTCAGGCGCGTCAGTCTGTGAGAGGGAAAATTATGCGCGAATCAGTTTGCGTGGCATCATTCGCACTCCATCTCCTCGATCCCCATCCTGCTGCAGTGGCAAGACAATGTCAAGACAACCGGGAGTAGGCTAGGGCGCAGCGATTGGCGAGGTCAGGCAGTCACTCTATGCACGCCACACACGCACGACCTCGTATCAAACAGCATGTATCAGGTCCCCACAAAGGTGGCTTGAATATTACGTGTGAGATAGTGTCAAAAAGGCAACATTAAGGGAGAATTGTTGAGGCTGATTCTTAATCCTCCGCCCAGTCACTCCATACACGCACACAGACACGACAGTTCGACCGCTGCATCCGACAATGTCCATCGTGTGCCCTCACAGCAAGGTGAGAGCAGGCACTGCGACTTACGCGTGATTTAGTTTATAACGAATGTGGACTTGTACTGTATCTGCCGCACTCTCTCTTCCCCACTCGCCACCTAGACTCGGTGTCAAGACATGTTCAAGAAGACCGGAGGTGCGGGGAAAGCGCAAGTAGATGGCGCGATTGAGTCTGCACTCTGGCGTTCAACCCCACACCCCCTGGCCCACACAGCAGATAACCAGGTTTTTGATTAACTACAACTATAAGGTGGCGGCGGGGCCCCAGTGTGCGCGAGGTACGCCGGCAGTCGGGTCTACCAACGCACCCCAAAAGTGTTGGCATTTGATACAGTGCGCAAAGCTGATGACGCCTGCAAGAGTCCGATATGGCTCTCGTGTTGGTCCAGCGCATCTACCACGTGGCCCGTTTGGGGGACACAACACACACACACGCACAAACACACACGATATTTCGAACGTCGATTTCGACGATGTCTACCGTGTGCCCCACAGCAGTGGTGGGAGCAGGAACGGTGACTTCCGCGGGGGGTTATACTGCCAGTAGACTTGCGCCGCATCTACCACACTCTCTGCCCCTCTCCCGCCTGAGCCCGGTGTCAAGACAGAGTCAAGAAGACCGGAGACGAGGGAGGCCGCAGGTGGATGGCTTGGACGGATCCTCATCTTTGCGCCCCACTCCGCACTCCCTGGTCCCCTCAACAATGGCCAGGATTTTGACCCACAAAACACACACACAAACACGACAGTTCGACCGTCGCATCTGACGATGTCCACCTTTTACTACACAGCAAGGTGCAGCAGGCACGGTGACCTGCGCGTAAATTAGTTTATAGTGAGAACAGACTTGCGCAGCACCTATCGTACTCTCTTCCCCTCCCCACATGGACCCGGTGTCAAGAAAGAGTCAAGAAGACCGGAGACGGGGGAGGGCGCACAGAGATTTCACGGTCAAGCCCGCACCTTGAGGCTCCACTCCACACCCCCTGATCCCCTCAGCAAATGACCAGGTTTTCGACGAACAACAGCAATGAGGGAGGGACGGCAGGGGTTCTGGTATGCGTGACGTCTGCCGGCAACCGAGTCTGCCATCGCACTCCCAAAATGTTGGCATTTGTTATGCTGCGCAAATCTGATAAAGACTGCCGGGATCCGATATGGCCCCGTGTCGGTCCAGCGCATTTACCACGTGGCCCGTTTGTGGGGCCTTCACACACCCACACATCACGACAACGACAGTGCGATCCTCGTTACTGGCAAAGTCCGCCGTGTGCCACACAACATGATGAAAGCAGCGAAGGCGAGTAGTGTATGAATTAGTTTAAAGTGATGGGAGACTTTCGCTGCATGCGCCTCACTCTCTCCGGAGGCAGAGTCGGATGCCGCTGACTGGCGTAGAGCGAGTCTGCGCCTAGACGTGCGACCACATCCCCAAGTATGGCATTTATTGTGGGTGTGTAGCCCAATAACGCGTGCCGGAACCACATTTGGCCGCCGTGTTGGCAGGTCACATTTACCGCGTGATGCGTTGTAATAAGCCCAACAACCACACACACACTGCGGTCCATAATTTGGATCGAAAATTCATCGCCTACTCCCGGTCTCTTTGGCCGGTAAATCACGTTGCCATGCTGGCATCGTTTGTCGACACTCAGTGTCCGCGCGCTTGAGGGCAGCTGCGTATACATCTCCGTAGTAAATCACTGCTGGGCACGTAAACCATTTTTTTTCTTAGGCGACACTCACAAAAACCTACCGTTGGACTCTGGTACCACCAGACAGGGCCTGTACGTCACAACGTTTCGGCTCGTGGACAGGAAAGTTTCGTTTACTACCAACACAATCGCTACCACCACCACCGCTGTCGAAGACAACGTGAAGACCCCAGTTACAGACAGATCACTGGATTGTCAGTTTGGACGGGCAGAGACGAAAAGGCCCTGTCAACCGGACTATCCTCCTAGGTACTTAGCTTCGGTCAATGTAGGTCGGATTTTCTGACGAGCTTTGCTGACTCCTACCAGAATATCGCATTTGAGACCCACTGGCATCGGTGAATTACACGCGTCTAAACTGCTCTGGTTTAGGGATGGGCTTTTAGGTAATAGTGTGGGTATAATCCAGTCGGGAGTTGCACGATAATCTCTCTCCTCATTACGGGTCAGCTGGGTTGCATTTTCGTACTCAGTTCCTAAATTTGGCTTTGGCGAACGTCAGACCCAAAAGATTTGCATTTTTTGCGTCGGTCGCATGTGCATGTCTCTGTTAACTGAACGGAAGTCTCTGGCGCTTAGGGTATATTGGATGAGTTAATGCACGACGGAGAAGTCAATATAAGGGAATTTAAACATTCCAAATGAAAGGAAGGCGATCAGGTCTGCACTCCGTACTTGCTTAATAACAAGCGTGTAATTTATCAAATACGCGTCACCAATAGAACAAGAAACCCGTTCAGTAATTTGATCGTCAAGAGACCGTGTACGTCAGTCCACCGTTCTGCTTATTTGATCCCAATTTTTTTCATACAGGGTACTCCCGAAAAGTTCGCTAAATTCAGCCTACCAAGACTGGTTAAAGTCACTAAGGAGAAAGTCTGTAGAAAACAGGCGCAGTTTTTGTAACCTCATACGGCAGTCAGCATACTAGTTGCACGCTCAAGCAGGTTCAGTATCTCAGAAAGTGTTGTCTAATGTTGCAAGCAGGAGCTGAGGGGCCAGTCGCCAGACTGTATATCCACTTTTCGTAGACATAGACACTATTGCGTCAAAGTGGTAAGTGCAATCGGGCGCCAGAATATCCGCGCCAAGTACAAAGGTCCAGGGAGATCGGGATTGTCAGTTTGTAGCGTCAAAGCATGATAATAACCAGACCAATATCCAGATATGCAAATGAGGCATCAGCCGCTCTCAGGGAAGGAAAATGGCCTTCATGCAGTCGAGTGTCGAACGAGGACGCCAATGATGGTGGTCGACTACAGCCGGAGTCGTCGGTCTGCAGTGTGGAAGAAGTGAACATAGTCAGGGCTCCACAATCACCAGGTTAAGTACAGACGCGCAGTTGTGACGTCGGTCGCTCGAAGGAAAGATGGATGGCCTTGACGCAACAGGGTAATAAACAGAGGTGTTTGACATTGAAATGATGGCTGTCGAATACAACACCACGTTGATTGGACATCCAAGTGAGTTCAAATTATCGAGGCCCATACCGACGGCGAGAAGTGACTCACATGAAGCGAAACTCAAACTTTGTGAAAACCTAGAGACTAGTGTTAGAAGTGATTGCCTTCCCTTGCATCCATTTACTTTCATTTTGGTTTGATGACGATCTTACAGGAAAAACTAGTTTTGCTCCGGCAAGTGATATGCGGTGGAGCACTGGAGTCGCGCCTTGATCCATTAGCCATGCAATGTATCAACATTTAAAAGACCAGACCACAAGAAACGAACACAAGCATAATTATTAATTAAGGTGACACATGGTCCGGTTACTTCGCTTTTTGTGAACACTCCGAAAGTTAAAAGGGCGATATTTGGTTCTACAGCCGTACTTGATTTATACACCTGTGGTTAACTTACGACGACAGTTTTAGTTAACATACCAAATTTAGCCACTCGCTAGATTAGGAGCGGAAAAAGAGCGCGTTTGCACCGACGTTTGGTGTTACCGGAAGTGGCGTATACACATTCTCTCCGCTACACAGCCACTCGCTGAATGACTGCAATAAGGAGGGTGAAATCACAAAAGGAAGGCCACGTAGGGGACCACGTGGTACTTCGCAATGCATGGCCATTGTGGTGGAACGGATGAAGTTCCAGTTCGTCCAAACAATGCCTCTAGTAAGCCTACTTAGCCACCCGATGGATTATAATAATAAATCTGACATAATCAGGGCTCGAAGCACGCGCAGGGATGCGCATGTGAACTACTACTTGATGTTACCAAAAATGGCGTACAAACATCACCCAGAAGCAGAACAACTAGCTGGATTAAAATAGTAAGGAAGGCGGAAACATGTGATATATTTAAAGTCAAAGTAATCCTACCAACTAAAATTGTCTTAGGAAGCTGACCGTATGGTATCAATTAAGTGGGACTGCGGAACAGAACCTCGTAGTTAAAAGCAATAAGTCCGACTCGAATAAAGGGAATTGTACTGCTGACGTTTTGGAGATCTTGACCTGTTCGCTATTATAAAAGCGTTTAGTGCAGAAACCGACGAGAATTTGAAAATACCGCCGAATTGGTTGGCATTGGGCCGATCCATTTTTTCCTCTTTCGCTGCCTTGACCCTCTGACCGTCGTTTATGAATGTTTGGTGGTCTCCTTTGTCGTGCGTCGTCACCTAAATTGGGGTCAGTTGCGGTTGTGCCCCCTCTTGGGTGAATTAGTCGACGAGCCGTGTTTGCTCGGTATTCTTAAGCTCGGTGTAACCGTCTTGTCCTGGTTATGACGTATGTAGTGAAATAGGACTTTATGGGCCCCAGGGAGATCTAGGTGCCTGTTGATGGAGTTGGCGTCTGGGTACCAAACCTCAATTGTGAGACGTTCTGTCCTTGAGATGCCTCAGCCTAAGACGGCTGCTCCTTGAAACTGCGGCCAGTTTGTCCCGTGTGAGTCTATCCGTTGCGTTGCGTTGGTCAAATCCGGTCCTTTGAGGGTATCAGTGACCCATCAGTTACCACCATAGCTTTCTCGGCAGATTCCTTCGATTGACTTTGGTAAGATTCCTTTGGACAGGAAGTGACAAACAGGTAAGAAATAGGCCATCTCTCTCCTTCTGTACGGTGACGCTAACACGGTTTGGCCCACGGCAAGTCAGTATCTAATGTTTAACCTCAAAAGAGTGGACTGTGTGGCTGATGCCTTCGACAAGAAATGCATAGAAAAGGTATTTGACGCTCTGCCTTCAATGTAATCCTAATATCCCAATAAGTTGCTTCGTTTAAAAAAAACGGACTCCCTACATAGATCATCTGATCTGTCTTGAAGAGGATGGTATGATTTTACGGCGTTACTATCTGAACATTTCCCTAATTAGAGAAATAACTTATTGACTACTATCCCCTGTGGGCACTCGATACACACTGCGGAGTTCACCAGTGTGTTATTCAGTCTCCAGTTTCGGCTGCCTTATCACTTCAGACTTTCGGGGACTAAGTTGCTCGGGGAAAGCAATTTTACTAACAAGGTAAAACTAGACTAGGCAATACAACTCTCCAGGCATTCGTCGTTCAGTCATCCGTTAGGATCAATGAACACTCACCAAACAGTCAGGCTAAAGTCGTTATTGCACCCGCTTGAACAGACTGTGAGAAAGAGGAAGTATTACACAGTCAGTAAGGCCTCTCCCGGTTGGCATGTGGGTTAAAACACTACCACGACTGGCTGCGTGTCCTAGCTTGGAAGGATGCCGACAGACAGGGCCAGATGGGAAAAAAGAATGAAGTCGACGCTGCGGAATCTAACCCCTTTTTTAATCCGTCTGACGCGTTTAAATATATATCAAGACGCGCTTAGTCGTAAAATGGAAGAGTGCCAACCGAATGTGTAACTTTATGCTCTCAGAGGAGAGAGAGTCAGGTCTAATGGCTCCTTCCGAGTGCGCTCTGTGGCACTACCACTCAGATGGGATCGGAGCCTCGTTCTTGTTTTTGTGAAAGTCTGCCCCGTCGTGCGCGAGACAGGCGTGTGTGGGACGTGTAGAGGGCCGTTTAATCTGGCCGATCACTGCGTCTGAGTCTGCCTCCTACCGTCAGAATCAGGCGGGTTTAAATGAAGAGTCCCGCAGCTTCTGCGAAAATCTTCCATCCCTGTAGACTAATTCAAGTGTAAGTCACCGTTCTGCATCCGTCATTCTTCGGGGCACATGCTGGATATCGTCGTATGTAAGGGTTGAACAGGCGTGTGTGTGTGTGTGTCGTCTCAGCTCCGTCTCAATGCGGATCCTCTGGTGCATGCGTGATCTGAGAGCGAGAGTGCGTCAAGTACCGTGGCTTCGAAGGCTGCTGATTGACGCCCCAATTCAGCCCATGCAGTCAGCCCACCTGTGCGAGTGTTTGTGTGGAGTGGAGGACTGGTGGGCTAAGGGCCAGGCTGAAGCGGCTCCTTCTTAACATGACCTAAAGCACTCTCACGCAAATGAGATGTACGCCGCCCAACTCCCCTTGTGTGAAATCCTGGTGCTTGTGTTTGGGGGCCAGGTTGTTCATGTGGTGCGCGCAGACAAGGTCACTAGACTATGTCAGCCACCGCCCCCATTCCCCGCACCTGTCAACTGACCGGCTCCGACAGTGGCTGAGGCATGGGAATGGGAAAGGGGAGTGAGGTCGGCGACTCTGATGCGCTTGGAGCTATCACGAGGTGCTAAAAGCCGTGGCTTGGAAGTTTGCCAACTGACGGGATAACTTGGACCTCGCAGTCGACTCACTTTTGTGTGTGTGAAGTGGCTGACTGGTGGTCTAAGAGCCAGGCTGCAATGTGGCCTTTATGGCATTCCCACTCCGTGGGATCCGCTTCAGGTGCGGCTTCGGTTGCGCCAGCCCGTTTTGTTGTTTTTGTCTAAAATCCTGTTCATTTGCTGTGTGCACCAAGGGGTGCCGATTGGAGCGCCAAGGTGCGGGCTTGACCGTGCCGTCCATCCGCGCCCTCCCCCGCCTCCGGTCTTTTTGACTCTGTCTTGACACCGAGTCTAGGCGTGGAGTGGGGAAGAGAGAGTGCGATAGATGCTGTGCAAGTCGACATTAACTTTGTACTAAACCACGCGTAAGTCGCAGTGCCTGCTCACACCTTGCTGTTGAGCACACCATGGACATCTTCGGATGCTAAGGTTGAACTGTCGTGTCTGTGTGCATGTGTGGAGTGACTGGGCTGAGGATTAAGAATCGGCCTCAACAACTCTCTCTCAATGTCGCCTTTTTGACACTTTCTCACACGTAATATCCAAGCCACCCTTGTGAGGACCTGATGCATGCTGTTTGGTACAAGGTCCTGTGTGTCGTGCGCGTACAGTGACTGCTTGACCTCGTCAATCGCTGCATCCTAGTTTACTCCCGGTTGTTTTGACATTGTCTTGCCACTGGAGCAGGGTAGGGGCCGAGGGGAGGGAGTGCGAATGGTGCCATGCAAGACCGCCTCATTATACAACAATCCACACCTACGTCAACGTCACTTTGCGGGGCATCTGGTGGTAACCATCGTCGTGTTTGACGGTCGAGTTTCCACTCAGTTGACTTCTAGCTGAGCTTTTCCATGCTCATTACATTTTTTTCTCAGAACACTCTCCTTGTTCTCTCGCTTTAGTGAAGTTGCTGAACCGCCAACTCCTCGACCTTCAAACTTCCCTCAACAGCGATAAGAAGGCTTGTGACGAAGCCTATCCCCGTCCTACCATCGCTGTTGCTCTGGAAAGACGTATGCAGCTTGGGTGAGTATACATCTGCACGCGAAGCCTTTCAGTGCTTGTGTCCGTACTGCGGGGAAGCAGTGCTTACATTTTGTCGGTTCATGCGAATAGACGAATTCCAGGCTGTAAGTGACGAAACGCACTTTTAGTCACCGGGATAAGAGCGCTTTACACCTGACGTTTCCTGTCTACAGTCAAAGACATCATCAGGGGGACTGTTACCCTTAAGTCACCTGGCTCCCGATAGACAGACCGCAGTGAGGTTACCGAGTACCAAACACTCACCTACCCCGCTCACGACTGGTGCTAAAACTGTTTGCTCGTCCATGTCCGAGTCACTGTGTACGGGGACCTCATCGCCCGTGCGAGGAATATGTATCAGTACCCTATGAATTGCCTTCAAAAAACGGTCTAGGCATTCAAGACGGGGCTGAGCAGGTAGCTACTCCCAACCGCTCAAGAAGCACTGTTTAGCTGACTACTAAGCGAGAGACTCAGAGGACCTGTTGCAGTGTCTGCATCATCCCCTGCTTTAAGTGAGCTGCGAAAGAAATGCGGAACTGGTCAAACACGGGAATAAGGACATCCCGTAGTACAGGTAGTTAACGTTAAATTTCAGGGGGCCTAGGAACCCTGATTACTGACTCTTCCAACTCTAACCCCCTGAATCTACAGTGAGTGGGCTAACTCATGAAATATCAACAGAAATTGCGAAATGCATTTTCTCGTCGTAAAGATTAAT